TTTTTTTTTTTTTTTTTATTTTTTTTTTTTTTTCAATCAATTTAGCAAGAAAGACCCTAATGCTTCATAGGTCTGTCTTGTTCACTACGAAAGTGCTGTGCTGTAGCTTGGCCTGAGTTCTTGTTGAGGTCACCTCAAAATTATTAGGGCTGAAGAGTCAAGAGCTGAAAGTGTGTGCACAGCTATGGAACAGACTCAAAAAAGGCAGTGAGATTTCTGTGGTCAATCATATGGCTCTGTACTTTATAATGTAAAGTTAAAACTGTATTGTTTTACAGAGGAGCTCCATTATAGGTCAGTCCTTGTCTTAACCAGCCACTTGAAAGTGGCCCCACTTGACTCCCAACACAATTTACTGTGACTGTTAGTTAAGGGCTGTTTCTGCTATGTCTGTGGTGTTTGCATTCCATATGGTGGTTGCTTAAGGCTGATCTAAAAGTAAACAAGTACAGGGTTTCAGTCACACAAAGGTATGGGACTCAGTCTATAAAGAAGTTCAGTGCAAGGGAGGAGCTCTGTCTACAACAAATATACTAGCAATTGGAGACTAGGCCTCACTTTTGTCATTTTTGTTGTTTCATGGTTCATCATCATCTCAAAGTAAGCCTATTTTTGTTGGGATTTTTTTGGCTATTTTTTTTGTTCTTGGTTATGGTTTTTTGTGTGTATGTCTGTGGTGGTTTTTTTTTTTTTTTTTTTTTATTTTACTTTATGACTGCTTTTCTGAAAATGAAATGACTGCACTATCCTGTGCGTTCAGTATTTGCAACAAGGAGAGATTCTGGCTTTGCCCCAAACTGTGTACAGTCTGGATACTTTTACAGTGAACATCTCTGGAGCAGTGAGGAACATTTTTGTGAGGATGACAGAGAATGTCAGGCTAAAGCATTATAAATAATTTATAATCCTCAGATAATTGTCCTGTGAAAGTTTCCAGTGCTCCCAGTTTCTTCCTACCACCCCTATTTTCAGCTATCATTTATAGACTCTTGACTTAATATTGTTAATTGCATAGTAAACAGAACAATATTGTTTGCCCCAAGACAGATTACCATTTCTTATTACAGAATTCACATAGACCACAAATCATTGATACCATCTCCACCAGTTATAATAAAGTTTATCTTCAATCTGATAAAAAGCATGTACTGTTGCTCTTATTGTAAATGGTTTAAAACCATGCTTTTTTAAAAGCTGGGTAGTTCATTGAAGTTACAATTCTGCATTTGCCCTAGCAAAGAGAGGTGGGAGTTGTGGACATACATGGTCCGATTTCCAAGCATGACACTGTGGGTACAGTGTGTGCAGTTGCACTTGGCAACTGATGAACCTCTTACCATTGCCACCTAAACAGTAAGTCCTACTATCCTGCATTTATCGGTATCTGTGCTTGAACCCATTGTTCAGTGCGTTATGTACTTGCATCTTTAGCTTACTCATAATTTAAGTGCATTTAGATGCTGTAAGGTTTATCTCTTCGGTTCAAGTTGCAGGGATTCTTAGTGAGCTGAAAGGTTCTGCGTCAGTCCCCAAGACAAGTAGTTAAACCTGTACCACTGTGAGCACAGCCACCAAGTCACAGAATTGCAGACTGTTTTGGGTTGGAAGGGACCTTAAAGCTCATCCAGTTCCAACCCCTTGCCATAGCCAGGGACACCTTCCACTAGAGCAGGTTGCTCCAAGCCCCATCCAGCCTGGCCTTGAACACTGCCAAGGATGGGGCAGCCACAGCTTCTCTGGGCAATGCATCACCCCCATAGTCCTGGCTGAAAACCACCTTTCAAGTGTTCTGAACAAAACCTCTTCCGGCAATGCATTTCCAATCCTCCCTGGTGAATTTAGGCACTCTTGGGGGATATTTTTTTAGCCCTACACGTTTTTGTGTCATAAGTTCTACAACAGAAGCATCTGGGTCATTGCGTAAGTATTATTAAAGACAAGACTGGCCTAAATGTTATTGGTCACTGCTGAATTTTGCATTTTGCTACCACTTTCTTGTGATCAGGCTCAGCCAGCAAGATCAGCTCTAAATATAAACTTTCTCAAAGCCTAGATGTGCTGCTTATGCGGGGTAGTGCTAGTTTGGGAAGAAGTCCTAAAATTTGGAAATTTGGATTTTTTTTTTTCTTTTTGAAGTTTAGGGACTTTATAAGACAACTGAAAATATTTTACAAGTCCATCAGGGTGTGTGAAGTTGTGATTGAATCAGGTTCTAGTGTAATTCTGTGGGGAAACAAGGATTCAGCAGGATCCTTTCAGAGTTGAACCCCAAACTCATTAAAATATTACAATAAAGTAATTAATGCACATGGCCACTAGACACTCTTAAAATGTAAATTTCACAGCTGTAAGAAATTAGATTTGTTTAAAAATAACAGAAGGCTCAAGTACAAATTACGGAGTAAAAGCCTATAAAATTTCAAACTTGGTTTTAAGGCACAACCATTTATTTTTTTATTTTTTTATTTTAACTAGATCCTTTACTTCAATGCTAGCATATAGCAACTGAATTCCTTGTCTGCCTTTTCCCTTGGAAGCTGAGGTATAGTCAGGTTTTTGTCTGGCACAAGTGTAATTTGACCAATTTGAGTAGTTTCTAGAAATCAATGCCCGTCTGACCACCCTCCTCCAAATCAATCTGTGGAAAAGAGACTAAGAATCATAGAATCATAGAGTGGCTTGGGTTGGAAGGGACCTTAAAGCTCATCCACTTCCAATTCCTGCCACGGGCAGGGGCACCTTCCCCAAGACCAGGTTGCTCCAAGCCCCGTCCAACCTGGCCTTGAACATTGTCAGGGATGGGGCAGCCACAGCTTCTCTGGGCAACCTGTGCCAGTGCCTCAGTACCCTCACAGTAAAGAACTTCTTCCTAATATCCAAATCTACCTTCTTTCAGTTTAAAACCATTCCCCCTTGTTGTGTCATTACAGACCCTTGTAAAACATCCCTCTTCCAGTTTCTTGTAGCCCCTTTGGTATTGGAAGACTGCCCTAAGGTTTCCCCTGAGCCTTCTCTCTTCTTCTCTAGCCCAGCTCTCTCAGCCTGTCTTCATAGGAGAGGAATAGTAAGGACAAAATAAAAGCTGCTCCAAAGTTCAGGACTGATGAAGCCAACTGGATTTTGCAAGGGATGTAATGTACATCTTTTCAGTGTAGAGGCCTAATTTCAAATTCTCCGGCACTTTCTCACCCGTTGTGTTTACAAACATGGGTCGTACTATAATGCAAGAAAAGGCTTTGACTAACAAACGTCCAGCAGCAAATTTCAATCTGTTTACATTTGAAACGATGCTGAAATCTAGGGCTCCACAATGGCTTCTTGGCACACCAGCTTTAGCAGAGTACTGACATGGTTGAAGGAAGGAATTCTGGTCAGAATATATTCCATATGAATCTTGTTGGAGATCCATTTCTAAATGTATGCTACGTGCTTAACTATTAAAAAGTTCAGATTATGACCCCTCTAATGTTATTTTAATGCTAGTTTTTAAAATGTAATTATGAATCAAATTACATTTGAGATCTGAAGCTGACAGTAGTGAGCTGTAACACTCCAAGAGCTGCTTTAAAAATAACCCCTCTCAAACTTTATTAGTGATTTCAGAAAGAGGAGTGCAAGTGGACTGGTCAGATTCATCACACTGTTTTTGTCTGAGACAGGGCAACTTGCAAAATGTCAGCTGTTTTCTGGGTTACACAGATGTAACGTAGAATCTTTCACCTTTACCTGGAAACTGCACTTCTCAAGTTTTAGTTTCTTTGAGCTTAAGCAGAAGGCAGGAGCTCATCTGAACTCTATTTCCTGCTTTCTTTTTTCATTCTTTATCAAATTTCTCTAAAAATTCAGATTTCTAAAAACTGAACAGCAACAAAAAAAAAAAAAAGAAAAACCCAGCTAAAAAAAAACAACACCAAAACCCAGCTAAACTGCAGGCCATCATTTGGCCAAGTGCAAAATGTTAGGTCAATCATAGGAAATAAATGCACTCAAGACTGTCATTGTGTTGGCCAATGGCATCTGCTCACCTGGGTGAAGGTATGTATGCATTTGGACAAAAGGGCTGGAAAACCCTAGAACTATAAATAACTATGTAGTTTTTTTTCCTTTTCTTTTAGAAATGTAAATGTCTGCATGAGACAATCCTGTAACTGGCCTAAAACGGAACTAACTCAGAAAGACAGTGAATTAAAATCTGTATAGAATTAAAATTTCCATTTATGTAGCTGTAGTTTATGGAGGGAAGGAAGAATCACTAAGTAAGTAAATCTGAACCACAACTCTTAGTGGCTCCTCAGATACTTTTTTGAGTTTTTCTTTTCTTGTGAGTGTGGAAAGTAGGTATTCAGAATTCAGTATTCAGAACTCCTCAGTGAATAATACATTTTAAAAATCTGTATTTGTAAAGTTTTTTGTTGAGATTATTTATAAATTCAGATTCATAGCTGGTTACCTAAATCATGTTATTTCTTCTGTTCCCTCATGGCCTGAGTTACGTATTTACTTGATTCAATACATAATGTAAATTGTGAGTATTACAGATGAACATACACCTCAGAATTTTTGTTTGGTTGCTCAGTAACATAAATCAGCCCGTCAGAAGAGGGAGGGGACGTACCACATGATCTATTTAAACAGCTAATACTTTGAAATTTTGAGATTATATGTCTAGAAGTATATATTTTGACCACAGTGCATAGATTATATAAATTGAGTGGCATTATTTCTGTTTCCTGATTAATGGTTGATGCTGTTCCATCTACAGAATGAATGTCAAATTCAAACTTCAATTTGAAATTTGAAGTCAATGAATATTTAAGCATTCATTCTAGATGTTGACTGTGAAGACATGCTAATATTGGTACAGCACATATGTTCCAAATTTTGCAGACAGACAAAACCAGAAAGCAGTTATGTGTTCCTAGTGCTGTTAACTCAAAGTTTGACTGTGAGTTAGTGTTTTATACTCTTTACTCAGATCTCATTTTTACCCTGTTTTGCAGATGAGGAAACTGAAGCAAAGAGGTTAAGGGATCTCTTCTGGGCCACAGAGTTTGTTGATGCCTGTCACCTCTCCCTTGACATGTGCACAGACTACTAGACTTCACTGCTGTGGCTGCAGCAGGTAAGCCAGATTGTATATTCAGTGTGATTAATTCTTGAACTGACTTAAGTATTTCCCAGAAAGGCTCCCAAATATCTAAATGTGAGATCTGTATTCTGGATGAATGTCTGAAAATACTGTGAAACAGACTATTCCCTAATGCAGACACAAAAATCATAGATGCAATGGTGTGTCAACTAATAGCTAAATAAATAACTTTTTTTCCTTCCCCAAATAATATTCTTTAAGGGAAGGAGACCAAAAAAACTGTTAACTTAGGATGCCTTTTTTTAATAGGAAAGACGACAGTAGCAGATGAGAACATGGATGTGATAGAGTATGTTGGACTTTGTTCAGAATTGTGTAGGCTATATTTATAATACAGTGGCTACAGCCCTCCCTTGCAGGCACAGTCATTTAGAAAGCCTAACAGGGCAGTACTGTTGTAGCACATGGAGAGCAGGCCCTTCAGTTTCTTAGAAAGCTTTTTGGCACCCGAGCTAGCCAGTCAAAAGCATTCAGGAGTTGCAGTTGCCCCAGGGAGTGCAGTGTAGACATACACAAAGTTTTTGCTCTGTAGCACTGAAAGCAAAAACTTCCTGATTGTGGTTCAGATTTACATGAGTAAAGATCATCAGATTTTATCGTGTGAGTAGAGAACCCTAGAAAGGTCCTGGACTTGAATGGAAGGGGCACTGGTGTAATTCTGTTCAAGGTGACTGCTGGGATCCTGTCAACTGTTCTCATGGAGTGAGCTGACTTTCTCATAAGAGTATGAGTAACACAATTTACCCAAAAATTTGTCCAGATTCATTTAGGAAGTGTCATCAAAGCTGTGTGCCAAATCTCTATGCAGTGCAGGAGTCACGCCAGGGGGTAGAGTCAAAATCTGTGTGTTGACAGACTGCTAGCCTTTCCTCCCCAACACGTGACATCAAAGATGGAGAATTTGTAGACAAGAAGAGAGTAAAAAGATTGCTGCCTTTCATGAGTTTCTTTTCTGCTTCTTTGCTAGGCATAAACTTCAGCATTAGGTGGTGGTTATGTCTGTAGGAGGAGGCATGAGCTCAAACAGAAGGTCTGGCCAAAAGTGCCTCTGTGAAAATGCATTCTCACCAGAGCTTCTCTTGGAAGAAACTGGTGACTGGCAGCCACGTTCCTAGTGTCTCCTCCAATGAGGAGACAAATTCTTTCCCAGGACTGTAGCCCTGAGCATCAGGTGACAAGGTGGGGCTCAGTAAGATCTCATACCTGTTCAATAAGTATTTAATTTAAGGAAATCCATGGTATTTCTAGATAGTTCCCAGATGAGTTATAAAGCTGCAGCTCTAGCTGCACTGTATTTTGCAAGTATTACCCTGCTACAGCTTGGGAGAATGCAACCCAACCACTGCTACCACTTTGTAGTTGCACAGTTTGGCCACATTCACCTGGACTGACTGAAGCAAATGAGGTTTATTTTGGAAATGTATTTCTGCATAGTGCACAAATGCTTAGAGAAATGGTCTTAACGCTGCAGTGGGGTTAGTCAGATGCTTGTAGTTAAGTGTGTGCTGAAATACTTCGCTGTATATAAAGTTCTTCAGTTTTTCCTGTATGGTGTAAACTGATTTCACAAAAGCGTAACTGTATCGTTGATTTTAGAAGAATGCAAAGTTTAGCTATGTACCAAGTAGCTGGGTAGGTTCCTTATTTACTTTGTTAAATTGTTGAATAGCCAATTCTAGATTTAAGAATTTTATTTTTTTTTTCCCTTCCGTGACTTTCTTTTCTGTTAGTGTCCAGTAAAAAAAAGTTATGTCCAGAATTTCAGAATTATTATTTTCTCATACCAGGGCAAGGATTCACACAAAGTAAGTCTGTGTGTGCTCTCCCTCCTTTGGTATGCAATCTACAGTCTATATTTAACTCCGTACATACACAGTGCAAAGAATCACAGTGTAGCAGCTGTTTGGTGGTGACAACGTAGGTATACAGTCACAAAAGAGCTTAAGATAATTGCTTAAATGACGACATCTGCAAAATGCTAATCTTCCTGTGAAGGGTCCCCCTGCAACAGGCAACATGAGCATTTTTATGTTCTGCGTTTGCTGCTGCCATGCACTTAATTCTGTTCAAACCATATCAAGGAGACTTGAGAAAAATATCAACCATTAAAGACTTACTCTTTGTTTTTTCAATCTGTGACCCCAGCAATCTCTTTAGCAAGCCATGGTTCAGTAAACTGGCACACAGCAGTAGTTCTACAGTGGAAAAATCATAAACCAGATGGAAGCCTTACATTTTTGTTTAGTTTTTAAGAGCAGTTTTAATAACATCGCTTAAAATCATTCTGATGCATCATACTGTTTACACTTAAAGCTTTGTAGCTAAGATGTTTACACTATAGAGAATGTTTTAAGATATTTTATAGTTATGATATTTAGATAATTGGCAAGAAAAAAGATAGTTTGTTGAGATTACAGTGATGTTGGTAACCGTGAAATAACTTATGAGTCTCAATAAATATGTCCAGTTTGGTGGAAAGTACAAACTCAGTTAAAACAAAACAACACAAGAGGGAATATCTTTTTGGTGAAATCATTTCCTTTTCTTAATCAAGAGATGACAGCCCCAGCCTTAGAACTCCCATCTGTAATGCACTGCTCCACGTATGTGCATACATGGCTTTTCATGATTGATACAGTTGTATCAAATCAGTCAATTAATACTTTGTCTTAGTTCAGTCAAATTATACACAAAAGTTAATAATGTTCACTCTCCATACAAAAGTTGCAATGATCTAAACTGAATCCCTATCATTTTCTCTTAATACCCCATTTTCAAGATAAATACAGTTAGACATTTTCATGCCGAAAAATGTCCTCAGAGCATAGCATTGGAACATTTAAAAAAAAAGTCCCCAAAAATGCATTAATCAAAAACAATAACTCCTTTTAACTTTTGTAGCTGCTCAGAAGTATGTAATAGTCTGTGTGTGGGCCACAAATGTTGGGAATGCAAACATTTCACGATAAACATGTTTAAATGAAAGTACTTGGCTAGATACACTGGAAGATAGTACATGTTGGGTTAATTAATGCATATTCCATAAAAATAAACCTCACTTTCAAGATCTGACCAATAAAAATCATTAGTATATTTGGATCACATGTGCTGATGATTTTTATGTGTACATTAAAGTTTTGTAAAGTGAGTTGTCCTTGAAAAACCTAGAAAGAGATTTCAATTTAAAGTCAAAACAACCCATTACATCTACTCTTTCTCTTTTCCTATAGTGATATGATGAATTATTTCAGTTTTATCTTCTATACCTGCAATTGATTTACTATTGATGGGTTTAAATTTATCATTTTAAATGTGCAAATCACAGCTACATAGCTAGAAACTGTACACTTTTGTAGCAATTGTTTGCCTGTAGAATGCGGTATCTGATTCTAGACATAATCAAATTACTATACCACATTATTTTTCTTCAAAAAACTTCCAGATCTTAAATTGAATCATTTTAGTACATGCATAAAATAGTATTTTACATTAAAAATCTTATCATAGCCCTAGGGAAATCATACATATAAACAAATATGTGAACTGGTTTTGCATTGTATTATGCTGTTGAGCCAGTTAGAAACAGAAGCAAACTGGGACTGTCTTTTCTGTTGAATACTCTATTTCTCCAAACCTGGTCTCATGAAAGACAAGGTGATGATCAGTATTTAACAGATGCTAAAGTCCAACCTCGGTAATTTACCTAATTTGCGGTTGCTTTGTGGGAGAGCCCCACTCTACACCCTTAGTGTCTATAACTGTAGAAGCAGAATTAAGTAGAATTGACCTAGAGACTGTTTTCTAAAAGCAAGATGAACATATTTCACTTTTAGACCCGTATCTATAAAATATACAAAGTAAGATGTTTGATAGGTCAAGCCTCAAAACCAAACATAATATAAACTGAACAAAAAATTAATTCACACTTAAAATAGAAGCAAAACCCTTCCCCTATGGTTATTAGCAGCAGCATTTTTTATTAACAGCAGCAGTAGGTATAAGAGCATCTATGCAGAAGAATCTTCGTGGTTCTGTAGTCATATTGACTTCATTGAAGATCAGAGACCTGATGTCATCTTATCTTTTCTGTAGCATTCATAAAGTCACTAGTTATGTACATGAGAAGAAACCATCTCTGCTCGAAGCCTTCATGTAACATTATCCCAATCCTGCACTGTATAGATGTTCTGCATTTTAACTTATCCACTGGTTACCTAGTTTCTTGTGAGCATTACAGAGGATTTAGAGATGAGGGTGATGATCCTTTGTTCAAATTGGGTAGGTTTCTGTGGAAAGTAGGTGGCACAGAAGATGGCTGCAGAAGTAAAGACTGATGAAGCCAATGGAGGGAGTAAAAGTGGCTGTCCAATGAGCAGATAATGAAGGAAAGGATCTGAGAACGTGCTAGCAGACAAAGGCAAGAAAGCTTGAAAAAGCCACAGTTGAAGAGGGAAGAACTGGTTAAGAAAGGGGAGTTGACAAGCTTCTGGTACTGACAGGAAATATGATCTGCACAGCTGTATCTCTGACTAACTCAAAACTGGCAGAACATTCTTTAGATAATTACATCTACCAAACTCCTTTTTAAAGAAGGAATAAATATTTTACCAAAACGGAGGGGAAAAAAAAAAAAATGCATCATAGAGCTGTTTTAGTAAACTATTAGAAAACTATTTTGAAGCCGGCAACTTAGAAGGCAGTGGCTTCTCATGCCTAGAAATTCAGTTCTAGGAAGGGAGGTGATGTAGGCAAATAGTAGGCAGGAGGCCACAGCTTGTGAAGATTACAGCTAGGTAGACTATGCACTTCTAATTCACAACTAATCAATAGGGCACAGAGGAAAAAGGCATC